AGACAGCAACAAGTCCAGGCATCTCCGTCCCAACAACAGCACCAACCGTTTTCGCAGTACGGCGCTTCCACCATGCTTCCGCCGGTGGGACCACAGGGTCTTTACGAAAACATCCCTTTCCAGCAGCGACAGACGGCACTCGAGGTGATGACAAGCCAATTCGCGATGCCCCAATACATGCAGCAGAGCGAGCATGCAGGAGCGACGTTGAGTTCCGGGCCGGCTCAGTACCTGACTTCTCAACCGGAGCAGAGCAGCTATGGCCATGTGGCAGTGACTCGACCATCTATGGGTCAATCTTATGCTGCGGGGCATGTCGACTTCCCTGTCATGGAACATGCGGAGCCAGAAGCTCCAGCTGTACTGAGCGGTGTCCAAGCAGCGCTCGAACAGGGTCTGCGAGACTACCACCAGCAGCTGAGGGCCACATTCGATGCGATCATTGCGGGCAGAGTGACAGCAGCCAGCGAGAAGCTGCTTGCGCTCTCTCGGTGGCTTGTCAACTCGGTGGCTGCTTTGGGTAAGATCAATCTTTGCTGAGTGGCATGGGACACGATCCTAATGGTTTCCAGGTCTGCACCACGACGACGAGACGAGACATGCGGAGCGCATTGACTTCTGGCGAGAATTGAACCTTTGCTGGGAGGCTCTGGGACAAAAGCAAAAAGAAATCACAGAAGAAGCCTTGAGAACAAAGAGACAACCTGTGGATGTGCTCTCGGCCGACGCGATGACAAGTTTGATAGAGGAATTGGTGAGCATGTGCGATCAACTCGAACAGTATGGACTCGTCGACTTCGAAATGGGCATCTGGGAAGAGCAGATCGTACATATCTTCTCAGTCTGCCTCGACCTCCTGCCTCGTGGTGGACTCAAACGACAATCAAACGAGAGCCCAAGCTGAAGCAGGCTCAGTATCAGCATCGTGATCTCTGCAGCCACGACTCTACGACATATTACGACTCGAAAACCCTTTTTCCTTTGTGGGCAACGGCATTTCATTACATTGATGAATTATACCTTGTTCTCTTCTTCATGATACATGAGTTTGTATGACCAGGACGCTTTTTCGACTTGCATGATGTACGACTATGATTTGTGAGAACCGGTAATCCTGGCTCACAGCAAAAAGCATTCCGACGGGGGAAAAGTATGGGAACAGGCGGGCGGAATTCTACTTTTTGTTGGCCCTTGCTATCTTGTTTGCATGGCTCCAAGCATGTAAAGGAGGAATCTTCTGTAAAAATAGCTGCCGTCATGTTGATCGGTACCGTTTCGGGCTTTCTCAACCCTCTTCCTTTGGGTGAAGAGAGGACGGCGGATTTGAAGCAGTGCAAAGCTTCCGAATATGGCTGGAGGTAGTTCCCTATGTTTTGTTTCCAATCAGAGGTGGCACCGAACGGTGCGATCGAGTGACGGTCCCGCCATCAGGGACCACTTTATCCAACCTCACTTTCAATCAACGCCTTGCTCTGACAATGATTTGATTCCTGCATTCCAGCGTGGTCATCAGCCCCCTGGGCAATCTGGCCGCTGGTCTCCCCAATCAGACCCAGTAGGGAGACTCGAACAAGGGAGTGCTAGAATATATACATATCTACATTCACGATTCGATACGTCCGCAAAAATAGACCTATTCGACGGTTCGCCCCTATCTCCCGCACCCTTACTACTTGACAGGAATCTTCCTTGCATCAAGCGGCCATGGTTCTCGGTAGGCGCTCGCCTCGGTGGCCTATGTCGAAGCCAGATCCCTGTTTCGCTTCGAAGGAGGCGTCACTTTGCTGCCTTGCTTGCGATCACCCGCCGGCCACTAATTGAGAGAATAGGATCTTGACTCAGACGATCACTAACTCGGTCGCGACGGTGAGTGCCGGGCTTGTTTCAGGTAATCGAGTTCGACGACGTATCCATACAAGAGCTGTGAATACCTGTGCCGACTTGGATTGTTGGCTGAAGGTCCCTACTCCACTCAGGAGGCCAGCTCGCGAAAATCCTCAATATGGCTAGTTCGACGACGGATTGAGAAGAACCATGCAGAAACTTGGAAAATCGAGCAGCTGTGTGGACCGTCTTCTAGCGGGATTCGTCGACAGTGTTGCAACGTCTGGGGTCCTCGCCTGTGCGCAGCATGCCAATCATAAACAGCGTCAACCAGTCGATTTGGGTAGAGGGGCTCGGACGTTCTGACAGCCTCACCTTTCTTATTCAACAATGGTGACGACTCCGAAAGCTGTTGCAGCATTGCAGCCTGGTACTTTGCTCGCGTGTGTGAAGATGCTCCCGGGCAAGCCATCAGCTGAACTAAGACCCAAAGAACCCTCGACACCATCGCATTTGTCTCTTTCTGACACGGAAGCGCACATGGCCAGATTGGTCCACAACCGGGCAAACGTCAGGCGTCCAAGGATAGCCAGGTCTGTGTTGGCTATCTCATATTATCGTTGGGGCGAGGTACAAAGAACGACTCTACATAGCCCCAACATCACTACTCATGTCTGCTCCAACACGTGTCATCATCATCGGCGCTGGCCTCGCTGGCCTTGTCGCCGCAAAGACCTATTTGCAAGTCTGCAACCATCTCGAGCGACCGCTCGACCTGATCGTCCTCGACGAAGCCAAGAACCCAGGCGGCGTGTGGACGACAGAGCGTCATTATCCGGGCTTGACGGTCCAAGCCCCCAATGGATACTACGAACTTTCCGACTTCTCAATGGTAGATGCTGACCATCCGTGGAACTCACTGATCCCAGCAGCCAGAGAACAGGCGTATCTGGAATCGTACGCTCGCAGGTTTGATGTATACGACAAGATTCGTTTTTCCGCGACCGTCGTCAAAGTCTACAAGCGAAAAGCGCCATCGCAACCAGGATGGTCTGTCGAGACGGCGTCCGGAGAAGTGCTCGAGTGCGACAAGCTCATAGTCGCCTCGGGACTGTATTCAAAGCCTAGGCCGATCCCCATCTTTGATTCCGCTTATACTGGTACTGCTGTCCACTCGCGCGACCTAGGCCGCATGCACGAGAACATCTCCAAAGATGCCACGGTGAAAGATGTGGTCGTGATCGGAGGCTGCAAATCAGCTGTTGAGGCATGCTCAGTCTTCCTCGCCTCCAACAAGCGAGTCCACTGGATCATTCGGCCTTCAGATCAGGGCGCGCCTCTGATCATCTCTCATCCCGATGCAAAGCCCAACCCCTTGGCGCTCGCGGTCACAAGATTGTTTCCCATCTTTTCGCCGTCGATTTGGAGCACTAGCGGGTTTTGGTACTGCTTTCTCCACTCTGGACGTTGGATTTTAGGCACCTGGATCGTACAAGGATTCCTCAATTTGATGAGCTGGGCGATCACGAGAGAGATACATTACGGGAAGAGTCGAAACTCTGCGAAAATTCAGCCGAAGGGAAAGTCCATGTTCTTCTACGCCACCTACCTCAGTCTGATTGTAGAGGGTCATCCGTTCTTCGATGCGTTGCATGAGGACAACCCCGACAAACTCACCGTCTATCGTGCAACACCGCTGAGATGTGAGGGCAGAGAAATTGTCGTGGACGAGGAGGACAGGGGACAGAGGCGTCTCCCAGCTGATGCCATTATTTGGAGTATAGGCTGGGAGCCTGGCGTTGACTTCTTTGAGCCGGAAGAAGCAGCAGAGATCGGCCTCCCCGTACCCTTGCACAGAATCAGGAACAAGAACAAAACCCTGTCGGCATCTACAAAGGGCGCTGTTCCCATACCGTCTCCCGTAGCCCCAAGTGACTCGGCTCTGCCACCCCTTGAATTCTACGACGGCAAGATACGAAAGCTGTTCCCCGGGACGTTAAACCAAACACCTTTCCAACGTCAAGACCCTACCAGTACCATTTCGCATACGAGATGGGGTCTCTATCGCTTCATCATCCCGTCCAGCCACTTTGCCAGGGACGACCGCACGCTCGCTTTTGCTGGCTTCATATCGTCTGCCCAGACGGCAGCTACATCGGAAATTGGAGCGCTTTGGGCTGTGGCGTGGCTTGAAAATCTCTTCGCTCGAGTGCCGATGCCTCTCCTCGACAGAGTTGACGCCGACAGATTGACCATCCCACCGCCTTTGTCAACATCAAAGCCGAGACGTGAGGAGTTGAGAAAGCATGGTCGAGGGGCTGAGGACCTCAAACTCCTCGCCGATGCCGAAATACGCTTCAATCAAGCCTTCCAAGAACGCCGCTACGGGTTTCGTGGCGCAAGAGCGCCAGAATTGATCCTTGAGGCACGAGGCTACATCGACGTACTGTGCCGGGACTTGGGGGTAGAGTCGCAGCGCAAACGATATCGGATGCGGGAGCGGCATGGCGGAGCTCTGCCGATGGAGGAGACAGGTTGGTGGAATGCGATCAAGAACTGGTTCAGGGAGTTTTTCGAGCCGTACATTGCGACCGATTTCCAGGGTGTTGTGGAAGAGTTCTTGAGGAATAGAGAGAGCGCGCTGCAGGAGAAGGACGACTAAGAAGAGACAGACCAACAAACCTGTTGCCATCAGGCTGGCAGCCCATCACAGCAGGACGGGGGACGCCTTCGGCTTTGCAAAAGGCCAGAATGGATCAATCAATTGATCGCCGCGGCAAACAGCGTGGTGTGTCTGTGATGCCATCGATCGGACACACCGTCGCCTCTGGGATTCTCCTCCTTGAGATGTTGGATGCGTGACGGTCTGATCTCAGGCCAACCGTGTTTCATTTCTTCTGGAATACGAGCCACTAATGCTGCACGCAGCTCAGCCATGCATTAGCGCCTGCGCGGCCTTTGTCTGCAACGACTTTTGCAATGCTGAGGCTATGAACTTGGCCATCCCCAGCCGACCTGACCGTCCAGCGACTTTTGTGTTTGGCCACTGTGTCTGGGGCCGCAGGCACGACAGTTAAAGGTGATGGAGACGCTCGTGCCAGCGACATTCTTACGAGATGTCGCTCGAGATATCCTCTTCTTTTTCCCAGCCCAGCCGGGACTCTTCAGCGGTGGCTATGGGGCCTCGAAGACAATTTCACCCCCATACGCGTACAGAATGGGAGGAGATCCGCCCGACTTTCACAGACCTCTATCAAAATCAAAGGAAGAAGTTTCCCGAGGTCGTGGAGATTGTCGGACAGCAAGGGTTCCATGCTAGGTGAGCGTTGTATCATTTCGACAAGCGCTTGGCAATTAACAACGGCTGAAGAGAATGCCACTACAAGACGTATATCAAAAAATGGAGGCTCGACAAGAAGAACCAGGTGGGCAGCGGGTCTTTTGTGTGTCAGGCAGATCGACAATCAATCTGACCTCGACTGCAGCAATCAGACATGATCTTTGCCTTCCAAAAACTACGGGAAAGACAGGGAATGGACACCACTTTCCTGATCCGGGGACAGCTTCGCTCCCGCGAGAATGTCGAACATTACTGGAAGCGTACACGCCTCAATCCAGCATGCTTTTCGCCGGTCCCACATACTCCTGACGGTGTGGAATATCGCACTCCAAGCCCATCTGTCGGAGGAAACTCTGATGAAGCTGGACCTAAGGATACGAGACAGGGTGCTGATCGCTCACCTTTCGCCGGAGGCGACCACGTCGTGCTTTTCCAGTACATTAATCAGGATCTGGTTCTTGCTTCTCGATCTCCTAGCTTGCGCCCCTCAGTTCTCCCGAGCCGTTGCGGACCCAAGACCAGGCCTTGCACTATGCTAAGGTGCTTTTCCAAACCCATGGCGAGCGTGCAGATCCTAATCTGGACGTTGTCTATTCGGATGAGGTCGCCGGGTTTCTCGATAAGCTCATTGCAAGAGCCTATAGTGCTTTGGTGGCCATAGATCAAAACAAGTCCCTGATCAGTATACAAGGTCGTTTGCTCGATACGCTCGAATTGATTCCAGAAATGGTAAAACACGATTGTGGATACTTGACGATGAATTTGCTGAGAATAATAGCCAGTTGCGTCCAAGGTACACGGTCTCCGGCATCGACGATGAAAAAAGGATGGTGAGCCGTAACATTGTGGAGAAAACAGGCAATGTGTATGGTGATGGTCACCTGGTATCGTTGCTTCTGAGGGCTCTGATTCGATCTTTTGATAATGTTTTCACAATATCGGAGATGATCATGTTGTCTGGGAAAGACATAATGGCACCGGGTCTCAGGCAAGACTATGCTGGAATGGAAGAGGTGCTCAGATGTCTCTGGGATGTTTCTGTGTTGTTTGGCAGTTTGAGTACAGCCCTGAAACAAGCTAACAAGCTCTACAGGATGTGTTTTTCCAGACGCAGAAAGTACATGACTGAAAGCAGTCTCACCTCTCTTCTGGTACGCCATTCTCGGCTGGCAGCGACTCATTTAACATTTGGAAACTACGCGGAAAGCGACTTCTGGATCGAAGAGGGACTCCGAACCTGCTGCCAGGCTCAGAGTCCAGAAACTTGGGCCGATGCTTGAGCGGATTTCCTGTTTTACAGAGCGCGGGCAATGGAAGAGGCTGGTCAATGGTCTGCAGCATTCGAGACTTTCGGGGAAGTCCTTCGTCACAGGATGAGACTCTACGGAGCTGGAGATTATCGCACCATGCAATGTGCTGCGCACATGCAATGCATAAAGTATCACCACCTTGAAAATGGGCAGCGTTTGAGGGCAGCAGAGGGAGAGTGTCAGAATGAGCGACGAGGGGATCCTTGTGCTGCTGGCCAGGACGAGCCACGCATCGACGAGCCCAGCGTTGATAGAGAAGCAGAACCTCCGAAGAATAACGACTTCGCCCACCTGTGACCGAACCATTCGGAGCAACAACCTTTGGTGATCGGGCACATCGAAACGCGGACGGACGAACAGCCACGACAACAGCGTCAACCGGAAACACACTGGGACGACCAACTACCAGAGCTGTCGGCAGGGGGAGACCAGTGGTGGATGACCTAGATTGACCAAGACCAAATGGAGTGAACGGGCTGAACAGGCACGCAAGAACACTCTGCGTTGATGGATAGTGATGGAGATGCGGGAGATGGTGCTTGGGAACGAACACCGGCGGAGTGATAAGGGGCAAGGAGGTAAGGAGGATTGGATTGCAGAGGCGTCGGCACTTGAAATCATGTGGACATGTCACTGGATTGGAATCAATTTCAACCAGCGTCTTTTCTTGCTTGCTTTTTCCCTTGCTGTTATGCATCCGCAGAATACACCTTGGCGACATAGGTTTACATGTATGGATGTACCTGCCCCAAGGTACCTTTTCTAAATAGATCCGAGGCCTCTTCTCCCCCTTTTCTCCCTCCTTGTTTTCACGGGGTATGTATATGCCTCTGCTCTACATACATACACTGCCCATGCTCAAGGACATTGTTCATGCTACAGAGTCCTCCAGGTCTCACTCAGGAGAAACCCGCTTCTTCACATTAACAGGGAAAAGGGAAGAAAAATAGTCGGAAGATGACGAGGGAGAGGGAATGATGAACTTGCAGCTTGTTTTCATGTCATCGAGCGGCTAGCTGTACACATACAATGATACCAAGATAGAATCCCTTTGACCCTGCCTCCGCCTGGACCGACAGTCTTGTGGAATATGTAAACAATACAAACTGACCAACTGACGGCTGTTCGCCCTTCGGTATCGAACGCTGCGTCTCTTTTGGGACACGCTCCTATATTCCAATCCCATTACCGATGCTCGTGTGGCTCAAAAGACATCGAAAACGCCATGCTATAACCCCCGCTAAGATGCCCTGGATCCTGTGATTCGCAGCCACGACGCCCCCTGAAATGTGTCCAATATGCACAAGTATAAGATAAGCAAGACAAAGGAAAGAAGGAGGTTCCCCCTCGGCACCTTCCAAGGCGCCAGCACATCTCTTTTGCCTTCTCAGCTCATGCGCAAGATCGCAACCAGCCCATTAGGGCGACCTGCCCGTTAAGCCGACCGTTGCGCTCTGCGGTGGCGCAATCCCTGTCCCCGTCCCTTCTGTATTAGGTCGTGGGCCTTGACTCTCCCCATCCTCACCCACGACTCTGACCTGAGGATCGGGGATCTGGATATCCAGATTCATGTACCCGGTCCTCCTCAAGGGAATAAGCTTCACGCCATCCCGCGCACCGACGGTATGATTCCAGTCCTCCAACCATTCTTCTAGGCCCCTTAGAGCGCCTTTGATTCCCCAGGGTCGAAAGTCTTCCCACAACCACCCTGTTAGTACACCCATTGTGCCATCAAACCAGTTCCATGCCGAGAAAGGGTCGTATGCTTGACAGAGAGTTTGATTGATGTGTTCGATTACGTAACGAAATTCTTGTTCTTGCATTAATGGGTCGAGGATTTCGGGGTATATGTTTGAGAACGTAGGTGCGAGATCGCCCACCACCATCCAGTCGCGCCGGATGCGGATAATGCGGGTGGCCGAGTACTCGGGTGAGTGTATGGGGACGTGTGGATTCCGATGTGGGAAACAAGGGTGGGAAGGGCCCCAGGCCAGTTCTTCAGCGACATCGCTGTCTTCATCTCCATTGGGTGCTCCTCTTTCGACGTCTTCTAGTGATGCTGTATTTGGGGGTTGGCCGCTGTCTGTGTATGTCCTCCCACCAAATGCAGAGGAGTGTATTGATGCGGCTGATTGTGCTCGTTTCAATGACTTGTGAGAGGTAATGCGGCGAGGGGGTTGTAGAGGTTGGTCCAGGGGGTTGACGCCATAGCTTTGTCCTAGCACAGAGCCCTGCTGCTGCTGCTGCTGTTGCTGCTGCGTCGTCGTCGTGTTATCCCCATTAAATTTAGACGTAGGTACTGTGTGTCCCCGTTCAGGCGGCTTGAGCCCGCCGGGTTCTTGCTTTTCCAGGTCGACCATCGGCTCCACACCTCGTGAGGAAGATTCGGGAAGGAAATTGTTGCCGCGCTGTTGATTAAAAGGGAGGCCTATGCTGGTTCGGTCGCCAGTAGGGGTGAGATGGGGACTGTGTTCAACAATGGGGTCCGTGGGAGAATGTTGACGTGAGCGACGTTGTTCGGGAAGGGAAAGAAGAGTATGGACCTCCCCCGTGCCGCGAGCACCGCCGCCAACGTCGGTGGAAAGCTGAGGCCGTTGTGGCTGGACTCGGACTGGGGTAGGACGGGGGACGTAGTTGATGGGATTGAGGACGCGCGAAGTGGCAGAGCGGTTATCGGGAGGAATGGTTCGTTTTTGGCCCTGCCGCGGGAGCAGCGCTTCGAGGAAGGATCTACGATTCGAACTGGGCGCTTGTGAAGGTGAAGGTGCAGGTGGAGGGGGGAGAGGCTTCTGTTGATAGAGCAGGTAGTCGGGGGAAGGAGCAGGTTCAGCAGAGGGTGAGGTCAATAGCCGCGGATCTGGAAAAGGAGGTTGGGGATGATGGATCTCGGGAGTCAGGCCAGGTGCATCTCTAACAGCTTGTTTTTCAAGCGCCCGCGGTGATAGATGGCTGCGACCGAGGGCTGCAGGCTCCGTGGTGGTGTTATTGGAGTTGAGGTTGGAGCTGGAGCTGGAGCTGGGTGCGGCAGCAGCAACAGCAGCGACGTGGGCGTGTCTGTGGGAGTGAATGGGTGGTGGTAGTGGAAAGGGGCGATGCACGGTGGTGTTTCTGGCGGGAGGAGCGCAGGTGCTGATGCTGCCTGCGGTTGGCGGGCGCTGGCTGGGAGAAGAAACCCACGGAGTCCAAGGAGCCCCAAGAGCCCTAGAATTTCTCCTGCGCTTCGATCATGCAGGAACAAGGACCACAGCAAACTCTCTTCACTGCTGCTGCTGCTGCTGCTACTGCTGCTACTGCTGGCTCTCGTCCGCCTGTGCAGCATCCTGCGACCTCAACTGGAATCCTGGGTGAGCCGGCAACACACTCATGCGACCGAGCCCTCATCTGCGGTTTTGAAAAAGAGAACGTTGAGAAAGAGAGGGAGACGCACACACTCTCACAAGGGAAACAATCTTTTCCTCTTGGTGCCCTGCTCGGGCTGACTCGAGACTATTCCGTATCCTTTTGCCCTATTATATTGGCCTTTGTGCCACCATGCCACCATGCCTCCCGGAATCACCTTCTCTCACTTTCCAGCGGGTTTGACGAGGTTTGAGCCACTTCGCACCATTTGGCCTAAGCGATCCTCGCTCTCCCTTCTTTTTATTGATCGCTAAACGCCATCCCACGCCCGGGACTTCCTTTCCGCCACTCCAAATCCGGGAATTGGCTTGCTAGGGTTGGAAATTTCCTACTGCCTACAACTCAAAGAGGCTCTAGCCCTGGGAAAAGGGAAAAAGACATGGGCTCGCCGATCATGGTGCCCAATCCTCTCCACCAACTGCTCGCCTGCGCCCCGTAAAGCAGCCAACGGGGCTAGACGGCCCAAGATGGCCTTTTCTCCCTCCTGGGGCGGCCTGCTAGGGTATTTAAACTTCCGCAACGGGTGATGGGCAATTGGGCATCACTTTGGGGAGAAAAAAGGGGAAACGATTCTCGAGCACGGCTCAACCTCCCTCAAGGTAACCTCCTGCCCGCCTCTCTTCTCTCTGAAAAAGTGTCTCCGATACGAATCAAGGGACTGGATATTCGGTCGGATGGCTTGATTTCCGACAATTTCTGGGTATCCTCGTAAGTGTCAGGTCCACAGGAGGGTTTCAGAAGTCTCCCAAGGAACAATTCAAATTCACAAATTCGTGCGATATTATGTCATAACTGCATTAGGCTAAAGGAGAAGATGCTCTGGAGAACGTCCAGGGATCCCTAAGAAGTAGGGCCGGCCGCTTCCTGAAAGCCTCCACGCTCCCTGCCCCAGCCCCCCGGCGCCGCTAGCCCTTGCGACCTTTTTTATCTGCCAGATTAGTCATTGGCTGCCCTGTGCAAGCGGGTCACCCTGCATGAACCGCTGCTCTTCGGCTTCGACACATAAAAGACCGCCAGTGATTTCGTTTCTGGAAGCCGATGGACTCTCTTAGTTTCCCTAAGAAATCCGGCTCGGTCCCCGGCTGCTGGTCACTGAACTGCCACCGTCAAAGCGAGACCATGCTCACAAGGCTTGCAATTCCCGCGCCCAAGATTAAGATAAATTCCAAAGGTGAGTTGAACCGACCCGCACCATTCGACGACTGCGACGGGGAGGCTGCCAGGCCAGTGGAAGTCCCAGAGGTGATCGGGGAATTTGCGGTCGAGGTCATGGAACTACTTGCACTGCTTGTCGATATCGACGTCACAGAAGCACCTGAAGACGCGGGAGTTGTTGCAGGAGGCATGGTCGATTGGGTTGGTATCGCCACAGTGCTGAACAAAGGGTTGGATGTCGATGTAATAACAGTTGCCTCAGGCCCAATCTGTTGTTTGCGACAAGTAAGCGTCGTTCTTTAGTACCATTCTGGGGCAGAAGTCTCGATCTCTAGATCATCGCCATCAAAGAGAGGGCTGAGACATTGACGTCAACTTTCCCAGAGAACCCGGGAGACTTACAGTCACAGGCACGCTGAATATTGCGCAAATCTCAGCGATCGCAGAGAAGGTGACTGTAAGAGGTAAGTCTCAGCACAGCGACGGCAACATTGGAGCTTGAACAGACTTTCTTGATCGGTGGCATTGCAGGAAGCCACGGTACAGTTATTCAGTCTTTCGATGTACATGTTGTTGGCACATAGGCATGGCCATTCGCTATCCGCTTTGTTAGATACCCATCGCGCAAAATTGCTCACAACTAAAATCCTACCTTCGCTGACAATTTGTGCCATTGACATTTGCGACGCAATCGAGCTTTGCAGGAGTTTAGTATCAACGGAATATTGTTCTCCAAGGAAGTGTCAGTCGCTTACGGCGCATGCATCAACGTCATCTTGAGCCCAGGTCCCCTTGGCAAGGCAGAGGCACCAAAAGACCAAGAGCAGAGGGAAGCGATGGATTGTTTTCATGGCCGACAGGGGCTGGATGAGGGAGTGGGTTTTCTGTAGTCAAGTCGGAGAGGATCGGATCATAGGATGAAGCGGATGAAAGAAATCTTTAGAGAGAGAAGATTTGGTGTTTACGATGCCTAAGAGACGCTTCGCCAACTAGTAGCAGAAGTAGTGGCCAGAGACGTTCAACGTGGCAGGAGCATGTGACTGACTTTGTATCAGGCAGCGACGATTCGCCATGTGTACCCAGTACAGGGTACGAATTGCAGAATCGCATCTCATTCAGATTTCTGCCTCGTCGATACAGTGATTGCCTGGCTCCTAAACTCTCGAGTTGATGATCAGATCACCAGACGATTTTCATGTTGCTTGATGTCAGTCTAGGCTCGAGCTGCTAATGCAAAGGATGCATTGGCAGATTGAGCGGGCACAGTTCTTGGCAGCGACTAGCCTCGTCCCAACACATTTGCAGCTCGCTCACGTGGTCGACGGATGGCAAGATGGATAGATATCGGATCGGAAATTCGGGCGACACATATTTGGGAGCAAAATATTTTCATTCTTTTATGGGTCGAAGTTATATGGACCAACTTCCCCCAACTCCCATTAACAATACAATCCATCATGAAGGCTTATAATAGTGGTAGTCATCAATCTCGTGTCCCTGACCGTCCCAGTGTACTCATTTGCTCCGTGTCCAATGCAGTGGTATCAAAAATGTACTGTGCCCATTGTCAAGAATGCAATTCCTTGAAGTGCAATCAATTACAAAGCGATCATGGTGGCAAAGATGGCCGCAACCAGCGCGCCGCAAGCGCCGAGACCTCGAAGAGAAGGAGCAGCGTTGCCCGAGTCCGAGGTGGTGGTGGCAGCAGCAGCAACGGCTTGGATACCAAAAGTTGTGCCGGTGATAACTTGAGTCGAGCCGTCGGTGGTGACAGTTGTGGTGATGGTCGCAGGGATAGGAGTGTTGGTCGTAGTGCTGCAGCCAGACCAGGTGCCGGTCCACGAGGAGAAGGGACCCCAGCCAGCAGTCCATGTGGTCCATTGATCACAGTTGACGCCGCTGGCCTTCGTGCCCCAAGGACCGAAGCCACCGGGCCCGAAACCAGAACCTCCGTGACCACCCCACATGCCGGGGCCGCCCCATGGACCTTGACCGTTCCAACCGCTAGGAGCAGAGGGCAAACCGGTGGAGCAAGCAGAGATCCAGCTTGACCACTGAGCCGAGTTCCAACCGCCACCTGGGCCGAAGCCGGGGGCGGCGGTGATCTGAGAAGGCCAGGCAGAGCCACCGGAGGTAGCGCTAAAGGTGGCTTCTTGAGAGGCAGAAACTGGGCTTCCAGCGTTGGCACAAAGCTGTGCAATGGCACCATAGATGGCTGTGTCCAAACGTTAGCTCACTGGCTCCCTCTTTCTATTCTTATCTCGCAAGAAGCTACTCACCCTCTTGATCAGTGGTGTTCGTGCAGGAGGTTGCGACACAGGTGTTCAATTGGGAGATGGCAGTTTGATTGGAGCAGAGGCAGTCCCAACCGCTGGAAGCACTGCAGGATGTGCCATCCCAACTTCCCATGCAGTCAGACCACTAGAAATTTGTTAGAACTAGAATCGTTTGCAAGAAGTGCGCCCAGGACATACCGAGCAGGATGGGAGCCATGCGAGACTGGAGGTGGTGAAGAGAGCTGCCGCCAAGGGCACGGCCGATGCGAAGGACTTCATCCTGAATTGAGGATATCTGATATGCTTGTAGAGCGTACTTGTGATAAATGAGTATACGACGACGTCTCTTTGTCAAGGATACCGGTCGACGACTAAGTTCTGTTCAGGATGATGGACTGTCTGTTGGGGCAGGTCGCTGAAGGAGAGCAAGAGCGGTGGGAAGAGGCAGGGAAAGGGAAAGATATAGGGATTTTGTCCCCCACAACCAGCCTCAGGCGAGCCGTGCGTTTGTTGTTCGGTGACCCCGGCCCTCGTCTTGACTCTTCAAGGGACAGACCACCGCCGCTCGGCGTTCGCTGGCTGGGGGACCAGTGGAGAGCACAGCCTTACCGCATGGCTGGAAGCGGTTGCTTGGGAGTCCGAACTTAGCAGCAATATACGGGGACTCGGTGGCTGGTAAGGGACAGGGCTAGCCTCTCACGGTTAGAATGCGCTTAGCGCAAGGGACGGAGGTCGGAGGAAAGACGCGTCATGCAGGCCATCAACGGGAAAATTATCTGTAGCAGGTCACCAAGTGCTTGTCCTTTAGTCCTTTTGCAGCCTAGCCAAGCCACATCAAGGCACGTCAAGACACATCCAATTGCTCTCAGGGCCGCCCAGGGCTGTCACGGTTGGCCTGATCGAATGGCTTGGCATGCTCATCAGTCCGTCGGGGCCGGCTTCACGCCCAATCGGGGCTAAACTCAATCCTTAATGTTCTTGATGGAATGATTTGTGTGCTATTTTTGCGGACCTGGGGAAATCTCAAGAATGCGCTTGTGCGGTCCTTCATCTGCACTCAGCCTCAAAACTCTCAGTGCCTCGCCGCTTTCTTCGCCATGGGCCCTGAAAGGCTGTTCTCGGTACATTTACGAACATCCATCCCAGCGAGGGGTCATTCGACTCTCGTGCGTTGCTCTCCGTGTTCTGGGCACTCTTCAGCCTCAATGGCAGCTTGCCCGATTGACGTGCCAATATGTCTGACGCGTCACGCCGCTTGTCCTACCGCAACCTCTCCGAACTTCCCTCAGCATTGTAGCCCATAGCAATCAAATCAACCATAGAGAATCAGCGTGATTGTCGTCGACTTTCCTCTAAAGGAAAAATCAGCAGATGATGACGTGGAACCTGGGAAGGAAGAAATGACCACTAGTGACCTTCTCCTTGCTTCAGATCGGACAGTCGGGGCCTAGAGACCGACTCCCGGGCACCCGTCTCGTGTTGGCTGCCCGTTGGAGCGCTGAACGCCGCAGGCCTTGAGCGAAGATTGGCGGATTCGGAGCCGAAAGACACTCGACCAGGCCGGCCAAGCAATCTTCCTCTCTTCTCCGCTCCTCGTCTGAAAGCGCCTGGATGTGGTCAGCGACGTTTTCCGAGGCTTTGCGCGGCCGTGAATTACTCGTATTCTCTTCTTTTCATGCTGGAACTTCAAACACTTCCGGCTTCATGTTGATCTTGCACAATTTCGCCAAACACCCGCTCAGTTGCAGAAAAGATTGGACTCCCTCGAGGATGCGCATATGGGTGAAGCCAATTTCTTTGATGAACTCGAGCTTCGAATGCTCTGAAAGTGTCGGGATAGTTTTCGTCACTCGGAACATAGTGCTTATGATGTCGTGCGAGGAATATCCCAAATCCCTTTAGTGTTATCCCATCCCGGTTAGCGGACGCGCTCCACGATCACCGGACAATTTCTATAATAAAGAATTACCACTTACCATAGCTCCTTCAAAGAGTCAACTGCACTGTCGATCTTGCCCTCCCAACATGCCTTAATCATAGCTTGTACCTTGACTGGATGCGGACTGTCGACAACCCGGAACACGTTGTCCCCGCTCACGAATCCGAATCCTGCCCACGTACTCTGCAGGTTATTAATTGCCTGTCGCATGTCTCCCTCTGCGCTGAAAACGAGAGCAGCCAGACCGTCCTCGGAGTATTCAACCTTCTCAGCCTCCATTATTTGCATCAGGCGCTTCACAACTTGCGCATCCGTGAGGCGAGAAAACCGCAGGATTGCGCATCTGGATTGCAGAGGTTCGATGATCTTGTTTGATTGGTTGCAGGCAAATGCAAAGCGAGTGGTGTTCGAATAAATTTCCATGGTTCTTCGCAGGGCTTGTTGTGCCCCAGGTGTCATGCTGGACTCCGCGTTAGAACTTGCGTAGCCATGGCGCCGTCACCTCCATACCTGTCTGCTTCATCCAGAATGACCAGTTTGTGCCGCCCAGGAGGCAACGTCACCTTCTTTTGCGCGAATCCCTTGATTCTGTTTCGTACAACATCAATGCCTCTCTCGTCGCTTGCGTTCAACTCCAGCACGGCCTCTTTGTATGCGTCACCCAGAAGAGTACGCGCAAGACACAGGATGGAGGTGGTCTTCCCGATTCCAGGCATCCCAGAAATGATGACATGTGGCATGTTTCCATCTTTTGCGATGATCTTGAGTCGTTCAATAATCTCCGTGTTTCCCACAACATCGTCGAGATAGACGGGTCTGTATTTCTCTACCCTGTACGTCTGTCAGTCTTGTTCAGCGTTCTCCTTCAAGGTGAGGAATCGGGGTACCATGGCAGTTCGTATTCAGGCGTTGCACCACTGCTGGCAGCATTAAGAACCTTTCTTGCCGCGGCAGATGATGATTCCGCTTGACCTGACATAGTGGCGATCTCGGGAACGGCGGTCTTGTTATTCAAGTGGGTTGTGCTCTCATGAAACCAGCATGCAGGGCAGTTCTCAAATCACTGCGTATGACTACAGACGCGTCGGGCGGGACGCGTTAAGTGCTTCTTGGGCTTGGCGGGGCACCACCTTGACCGCGTCTGGCCTATCTCACTATGTGCATACTCCGTACAGCACTAGCTGTGAGCCAGCCCCAACAACCCCAAGGAACAGCAAAGAAGTCCTTGGTCCTTAAGGCTTGGTCCTGAAGGGCCTACAAGAAATGGATTGCAAAGACCCATTTATGAGTACAGCCCAGCCTGCTGTTTTTCACCCACGAGTTGGGGGACGGCGCTCCGACGGGTCCCATAGCAACTGCCACATCTGTTTCGGACCAAATCTGCCGAAGCCTGGAAACGTCATTACCAAGCAAAACTCCAGGTGCTCTGGCTCTCTGTGGCATCAGGGACGTGTTGGATCTATAAATTTCGCACACTTACGACCTTTGAGCGACAGTTCGGAAGTTACAGCTCGTCAAAGATTTTGCTCGCATTTGTCCTTAAACTTCACAACAAACTTGTTAGATACCCGATAAGTACGCGAACAAGCAAACTACGATGCTTGTCCTCACAGGCAGTACAGGACATCTAGGTTCTCGAGTCCTCGATACACTACTACGCCAAAAACTAATTCCACCGTCAAAGCTGATCATTTCATCAAGCCATCCAAGCAATGTGTCGCCTGCAGCCCGTGATGCTGGGGTCGAGATCCGACAAGGCGATTTCACGTCTCCTGGCTCGCTAGCTGCCACATTCAAAGGTGCCGACGCTCTTTTCCTGGTCTCGTTTCCCTCTCCAAGCGTCGATAGGTGGCTTCACCATAAAGCCGCCATTAATGCGGCTAAACAGGCTGGTGTAAAGACTGTGATTTACACAAGCTTGATGTTTGGTGGTAAGACGGGCCTGGACAGCATAGCAGGCGTTCAGCAAGCGCATATCAAGACTATTGAATACTTGACGCAAAGTGGCTTGCAATATGTGATTGTGAGAGAGGGCATTTATGCAGAAAGCTGGTGGTTATACGCTGGGTTTCAACCACAGAAATTCAAGAAGGGCGACACAAGCGACATCAGATTCGTCATTCCCAATGACGGCCCTGTTTCTTGGGTCACATGGGACGACCTCGGTGAAGCCACCGCCAAAATCCTCCAAAATTATGAGAAATATCTCGGTCAGACGTTGAACCTGACCGGGCCACGAACGACCAGCATCAGCGATGTTGGCAAGCTGGTTGAGGAGCACACTGGGCGGAAAGTCAAAGTCGACATTGTGGGCAGGCAGGAAGCTGAACGGTACCACAAGTTTGAGAAGAAGAGTGTTCCTGAGGACAACTTCTGGGTTGTTGAGAGCTGGAGTGGCTGGCATGTAAGTCTCCTAAATGACAAAACCCTGGCTTCCCCCATGTGACAACCTGATGCCAACAACAGACCAGGATGGAATCGCGAGGGGGGAGACAGCAATGGTTGATCCCTTAATTGGTGAGATCTTGGGAAGGGCGCCCAGAGGCATTGAAGAGATGGCAACTTGTCTTTTCACTCCCGAATAGGTTGATGTTTTCAAGGTGACGTTTCTCGGAGGATGTGTAATGGTGACGGCTCGACGGGCAGCGATAGCAGAATAAACCCGGACCCGCTAGCTCCTCAGCGAGGCGAATACTATTCTCTATCCAACTTAAAACTTGACTCCATGTTGTCCACCACTGTTTATTGTTGGTGCCTTTCGGAGGTTGATACGTCATCCTGGTAACTGTGATCACGCCATGTTCCACAAGGCTGAGTTCTCCCCTTTTAAATTAACCCCTCGCAAGCACGGCACCCTCCTTCGTCACCGGGGGCCTCCACAGCCTTGGGAAACTAGCGAACTCTACTCTATCAGTCGCGACTGGTGGCTCTCCGAGGCGGCCCGGCTTACTGGGAAAGAACGAATTGAGAAGATGATGGAACAGGACAGCACAATATTTGCTGGGTCTAGCTGTGCACAATCTGAGACCACCATACTGAAAGCGTGCAGGCATTGTGAAAAACTCTGCGCTGACGCGTTGGCCTGATGGACGGTTTCATTGGCCCTGGCTGTGCTGAAGCCCCTCGGATACGGGCGCTGGGTTCCTCGCTCCACCTGCCCACAAAACCATCCTCTCGTGCCTCGTTATGCACAGGTGGTGCTGGCATTCTGCATCCTGGCATCCTCGAGGGGCGTGCCTCGTAACCCTCTCCAGCGATTCGATTCGGTGCCTACGGGAGAGACATTGTGCCGAAACATGGTTGTTCAAGGCTCCCTGCTGGGCTGTGTACTTCCTGTATATACCTAAGCTATGTCAGGTGAGTCTCCTGAAGTTCCTTCTTTTCATCTTTCCTCTTCCCCAGGTACCCTTTCACTCCTTTTAAAATAACACCAGCTGGCGTCCCTACCCCGAGCCACCCTCAAAGTCTCTGGTCCAATATTTGGCCACAATGGGCCTCTCAGACGGACTCGTGGTCTTCCTCTGTATCGTGATCGCTGGGATCGTGGTGGCCGGCGCCGCCGCGCTCCATCGCGTCGTCGCAAACAGCGAGTTTACCGAAGAGCTCCCACAGCCTTCCAACGCACAACAGTCGTACATGAGAGTAGTGCGGTCGAGAAAATGGCCTCTTCTCCATGTCGATGAACGCCTCCCGCCATCAACGGTGACGTCGAGCGTGTGATTTGATCTCCATGGTCGCAAAAATGAAAGAAAGAAAAAAAAAAAATCCCTTGACAAACTTGTATGTCAAAGACGAGGCACCCCGACGGTTGTTCCTATCTCGGGTCAGCGTCTGATCAACACATGGGGACTGAATATGAGAATGACGCCTCATCCTACGTTGCGACGACCCCCCTAGACCGTCTATTTAATGGAATCTCAGTGTTGGGCTACCGTAATGGTCGTCAAAAGATCAGCTCTACGCAGGATGATTACGAGGCACCGTCGGAGGTCAGAAGCCTCCGACGGCTCTCGAGGGCACGCCGAAGAAATAAGATCGCTCGACACCGGCAAAGCAGTTGGATAATGCAACCATCACCGTCGAAGGGTCGATCAATGCTTTACTTCCTTAGAGCATTTACGACCAATTAGGCGGCTCGCTACCATATCGCACAGTTTTCGCGGCTCCATCAATCCGCCAAAGATTGAAGCTCGTCATAATGATTCACTCATCGCGAGAGGGGAGGGAGTGGGGACGCTGTTTGTTCCAACCGTCATCTCGACATCATCGGGCGATCCCCACATGCCACCCAAACAAACACACTCTCTCCCTCTTCCAATTCCCACCATCGAGGCGACAAAGTATCCTTCAAAGGGGTTCAAAGTTACTCCACGAAGAATGACCATCCCTTCCCCCCGGCGGGTATGCTCTCCCCTGGTCAGAAATTCACCCCCGAACCAGCAACGTAGTCCGATCGGTTGAATTTCCAGACGCCGATGACAGTGACGATGATGACGATGGTGATGAGATGCAAGTGCTGGTGACGGTTCATGTACTATACATATAGATATTTGTATCCAATCCACATTTTACACACTTACACCAAAGAGCACATACATCGAACGCTGTCGCGAACCTGCGGGATGTGGACTGGATGAGAGATTGGACTACATGGGATAGTCTGTCTGTCATTCATTTGATCCATTCATTCAAGTGCCTCCAGGGGCCTTGAGCCTCATTCTGAAAAAAAGGGGAAATGTCGTAAATCAACGCACATCGACACAATCCACATCCTGTACCTAGGACCTACAGCCGCACTCCTTTCAAGGGTCTCCGCTGCGCAGCGGCCACGTGGCCGAAACCTTCCTGTTGTTCAGTCTCTCAATCCCGCCGTAGTGGAGGCCAAGGGTTGATAACAAATGTTTCCCTCCCGGGTTCTGGCTGAGGCGGATGTGCGCGAACTCCCCGTCTGCCAGAACCTCTATGCCCACGGGGTCAAGACGGTCGATCTTCCCTTCCAGCTCTTCATGCGTGTATGCGCACAGGTCCGGGCCAAAGTGCGACTGAAGGTGCTCAGCAATGTCGACGATGTTCCTGTAACGCCCGAATCCGCGACCGCTGCGCCACAGGGTGCCGTTGCGGAAACTGTCCATCCACACCGCGAACATGCCTGCGATCCACAGACTGGTCAGCGTGCAAACGATCCAAAGATAGCCGCTGGAAAGACCCCATTGATAGGTACTGCTAGGAACACATTGGAGGATGCCTTGGGGGCTCTGTTCACTCTGCATTACCCAGTTATAATCGTCATCGACAAATGCCTTGAAAGATGTGTTTTGGCCGGAGATTAAAATCTTGGTGAACTCCCCGGGATAACGTTCGATACAGCCGCCGTTGGCAGCACAGTATGCGTCATATGAGATGTTGTTGAGCTGATCGCGGTCCAGTTCAATCAACTTATATGTTGGATCCCCTGGAGAGGTGACGTTAACCATGGTCTTGTACTCCACTATGTATCCTGTGGTCAGGTCGAGCAGAGTGGGCAGGGCAATGAGATATGCCACGGCAACGGCAAGCCAAATAAGGGTGACTTTTGCGCGGACGGTGTCCACCTTTGTAACGGCTCGCAGTTGGTACCATGCTCCCTTGATGGACGTCGTGTCGAACGCCATGGCAGTGTATAACTGCAAAGGGACGCAGTTTTCCTGGATGATGCGAAGGATGGCCATGCTGAAGAGATGATAGGAGAGCCACGATAAGAGCACCTGCGAGCCCCTACCCAGTACCAAGTTGAGGCCTGCATCCAGGATCTTGACTGACGTGTAGCTCAAAGAACCCCAGGCTATGTTGATGGCGAATCTCCCGGAATAAAGAGACGGGTCGCAAGGAAACAAGCGTTCTGCAAGATGGCGATTGCCATAAAGGTCGAGTAGTGTGTAGAAAGGGTATCCGGCAATAAGCCCCGGGACGACCGCGCCGATGGTGCATCCACTGTATACCAGAAAAGCACCGATAGTGATGAGGACATTCCTGATGGTGCAATATTTGCGGAGAGGTTTTAACGGTTTGGGCGGCAGCACGTACGGCGGAACAGGCTGGCTCTGGCTCCGGCTCCCAAATTGCTTGGGGAGGTCATCCTGGGAGGAATTGCCGCTTCGTACATTGAGCTGGGGCTCCTTCAATAGATATTCGTCGAGCGAAGGCATTTTGAGGCATGGATTGCTCCCCAAAGCTCAAAGCAGCAGATGTGGGAGACCAGGATCAAAGCCACACTGAACGAGACACCACAGAGACCTACCTATATACATACGGGGGACCTACCGGGAGATTTAAACTGGCGACTTGTCAACATCGTCTTGCGCTGCACAAAGTCCTCTCTATTGTGCAGCTGAGAAACAAACTGACCCACGATAGCGACGCCGTGTGGCTTTATCCCATGTCCGAGAATCCTCGTATTCGACTGTTGATAGCGAGTGGACGGCGTTCTGGACTCTGAGCCCCCTTTAGTGGTTCCATAGGGAGTAATAAAAGTACAGAGGTTTGATGCGAAGCAATTTGCGAAAGTCCCGTTTGAGTCAGAAGAGGCGACCCAAGGTTTCGGTCCTGAAGGAGCCAAGACCAGACAAGCTTCCACTAGCAGCGTCTTCAGCCAGCCATGCCAGCAGCCACTCCGTCCTGCGCGGAACAGGCATGAACATGCTCTACTGCAGTCCAGAGCCTAGACCGTGTTGAATTACATATCACCAGCATCTTTCTCAGGGGGAGGAACACAGACCTATCCTGCGTATTATTTCGATACAATATGGTGGAATGAATGTTCATTTTGGGACCTGGACAGGGATCTGTCGGTGACACATGGCCCGTCTTTAGCAGGCATCGTCGAGATCTACCCCGTACCGGGTATGTAAGTCCTCTCAACAGCGTTAGTGGCGCGGAGGAAGGCCTAGAATGTGCTAAATGCCTGGGCAGCATGATGAACTCGTCCTCGGCCGCAACTCATTAACAACCACCTGCTCCTCAGGCCGAGTCCCGGTGACAGAAATACTAGACAATGTTGGTGGGATGTCGACTCTCGAGGGCCATCTCACCGCCGTGAGACTGATGCTTATGTATTCTGCCATAACAGCTCACGGTACCCCTCCACGACACCTGGCCTGTCCCATTCTTGGGGAGGGGTGTATAAGTATCTCTCATGCTCAAAATGAAACCAAATCGGGCCTTCAACACCTCTCCTTGAGTCAGTCGTCAATACCTCCCCAGTCACAGCAGCTTCGTACTTTCAACCACCATAATGTCGGTGTCTCCGTATTCCGTCCAGCACGATCCCGAAGTCCAAGAATACAACAAACGCTTCTCGACTTGGAAGGCTTCCGAGAAGAGTAGGAAGCAAGAAGAGAAACTTTTTCGAGAGCAGGCCAAGAGGGACCGGAGAGCGGCCTTGAAGCAGATAGCTAAGGCGGAAAGAGGTGATTGCATTGAATTCGTTTGCTTTTGGTGAAGTTTCGCTGACACCGTGGCAGCAGAGGTTGGAAAGGCCTTTGGGTGGGTGTGTCAGAAAGACCGATCAAAGACTGAGGTCGTTTCAGCCAAGAAGCTCGATGGTGACAGTGACTCGGATGAGCTCTCTGTGCGAGAGGCGCTAGCGGTGTGAATATAGATGCTTAGATGGCACGACATGACTTCCGTGTCAGCATGGCGTCCATCAATACTAGAAATCCTGCCGGTGCAAAAGTTCGTTCTCATCGAGTCCCATCCGTTCATCCTCCCAAACTCCACAAACCTTTGCCCAGGCCCCTCGCAACAACACCACCCAACCACGACCCTCTCGCCTCAATGCCGAGACTTACGCCCTTGACCCCGACCCACTGACTCACCGCGGCCGTGACAGCGACCTCATCGTCGCAGGGGACACGAATCCAGGCATTTGGGCCCTCGACTTTCAAAACGTCGACGGGGATGGCTGTGCCGGTGAGTCCAAGGTACTGCTGAAGTGCTGCCGTGAGATATGAACGCAGTGTGATTTCGTCTAGCGTCTGGTCAGCTTGGGTTGGCATGGCGTGGAGACGGAGGTGGAAGTATGAATATGGAGGGCTGCGGAGCGTGATAGTGGCAGTTTGCCCCTTCAAAGGAGCAGGTTTAGTCTTTGTCATTATCGACGATTGTTATTCACAAAGGACAGAAGGTTGGAGGTAGATCGATCGAACCATATGTGTGGCTCTATAATGCACCGCGGAGCGAAAGAATTCCAAGAGGGGAGAATTCAAAAGCGAAATAGACTTGGAATGTGACAGTACAATTTCCCCACCTGGAACCATGGCTTTCAAGGCTGTCCTTGGGCTTTCGTGGACTACGACGTCATTCCAGCCTGTCAGACATGACCGATACGGCTACATACCGAGCGAGCTAGATATGGAGTACCGGGTACCGGGTACTTTGGTATTTTCTTGTGATTGGTCTGCCTCAACCATCCGTCCCTCAATACGGGCACCTTGACAGTTTCACAGCCTCCTACTCACCTACTACATACATACCATCATCAACCGTCGAGAACAACAAGATCTGTGTCAGGTTTGTCGCTCCCACTGATGTTTTCGAGGCTGAAGCATCTCTCCCGCCATCTCTCACTCTCACAACCCTCTGTTCTATCCAAAACCATGTCTTCAGCCACAACCACGACAACAACCACGTTCACTCTCCCCGACACGACCCCCAGCATCCCAGTAACCCACCCATCCTCTCTCACCAAGGACCAACTCCTCAGTTTCCCCGCCTTCAAGACCTGGCTGAATACCCTGCAAAGGAGTCTCTCACTACAGTACAGCTCTGCAACCCATCCATTCCACCAATCCCCATACTCTCTGAGATCCATCGAGGTCCAATCCGTCGACTTTTTTTCCGGCCACCGCCTCGGCTTCCTCAAGCTGAAGGCCACCGTGACCAATGACAAGGGAGAGTCCCTGCCCGGCTCGGTATTCATGCGAGGCGGGAGCGTCGCCATGTTGATAATCTTGACCCCTTTGCCTTCGCGTTCTTCCGAGCAGTCGCTCCCAACGACCTCCAAGGCGCTGCCCGTTGCAGAAGAAGAAGAGTACGCGATATTGACGGTCCAGCCCCGGATTCCGGCCGGATCGCTCAACTTTGTCGAATTGCCCGCGGGCATGATCGATGACAGTGGCACGTTCGCGGGCGCAGCAGCCAAAGAGATTCAAGAGGAAACCGGGCTCGAGATCTCGAGCGACGAGCTCGTCGACATGACGCAACTTGCGTCGTCGTCCACCGTCACTAGTACTGGTCCTGGTCCTCAGGAGGACACTCCGGAAGAGCAGCTCCAGTCGGCCATCTACCCTTCCCCAGGCGGGTCCGACGAATTCATCCCCATCTTCCTCGCCCGCAAGACCCTCCCGCGCCCGCAGATCGAGACACTAAAGGGCAAGTTGACCGGCTTGAGGGACCACGGCGAGAAAATCACGCTGCGCATCGTGAGATTGAACGAGGTGTGGAAGGTCGCGTGGAGAGATGGGAAGACCTTGGCGGCCATGGCGCTCTATGAGGGCTTGAAGGGAGAAGGGAAGCTATGATCTATCTGGCTTCAAGAGCTACAATTCATGCAAATCTCGAAATCTCCAGTGGGGACTTTTCAATGATTCCTTTTTTATTCTCGTGGCTCTCTCCCGATATCGTCATCCCTGCCACGCGGTTCGTCTCATCGATGATGAACTCCTCAGAATTGGGTATCTAATACAGTCCTACATCGGAAAATGGCCTACTCCGAGAAAGCAATCTACGCCTGAAAGTCGGCAAGAAGCCTGCTCAGACTGCTGACTGGTTCCTAGCGAGTGGCAGAAGGTGAATCTGGACCATTTGGCACTAGGGTCGGAAGCGTGGCCAGGTACTTCTCGTGCGCCTTCCGCTGTGCCTCCCACTCCTTCTTCAACTTCTTCACCCGGCTCGCTGTCAGAGGGGTTCCATTCCTGGCCGTCGTCGGGACACCGTCGTCATCCCACGCCGAATACTCTGTTTGATGTGGTGGTTTGAACATCTCTCTCGGATCGAGTTTGGCCTTCTGCAACTTCTCCTGCGCCTCTCTTTCGCGCTGTTTTCTCGCTTCTTCTTTTTGGCGGGCTTTGTCTTCCTTTTCGCGCCGGGCAGCTTTGAGACCTTCGGTGACGGGGCGGACCAGAGCGGGCGCATTCTCTCGGTCTTCGAGGTAAATGTCCAGTTGCCAGAGATCGATGTCTCGGACCCGGTCGCAGAGGGCGAGGATTTGTTTGTTCAGATCAGGCGAGGATTCCATGGCAGCCGGCGAAGAAGTCGCTTGAAGGGCGGCCCTGCTGAACTCACTCAGGGCACGGGCATATGAAGGCCGAGGTCTCCCACTGGAGGCCGGCTCTTCCAGGCTGGTGGGCGAGGTGGTAACGATTTCCTGGACTTTCTCGGCGGTGATGGATTTGGCAATGGCGGCTTGTCGCAGTTCGTCCCGCATTTTAGCGAGCGGGTAGACGAACTCTTTTGCGGCGTCAGGGATCTCGATACCTTTCCAGCCCACCTGTTCGGTATCTGCTGGCTCGGAGCCATTTAGGCCAAAGATGTTCACTAGACGGGTGACGAAAAGGCCGACCCGGCGATGATCTCCTGCTGTTAATTCGGACTTTTTGGCGCCGTTGTATGTGTTTATTAGTTGCGATATCGTGTTCATGGCGATCGGCGTGTTGAAGGAGTCGAGTAATGCAGTTCGGACCTTCTCTGCTGCCTCCTGAATAGCCTCTTCCAAGCCGGCTGGCCGTTCATCTGAGGATTTTGTGTTCTTGATGGCCTCGATGGCGTTGAGGAAGAAGTTGTCCACACGGTCTTCCCAATTCCTGCCTTCGGTGACCATGTCATCCGTAATTTCTATCCCGTCTTTCCAATTTCCGAGCAAGAAAACAATTCGTAGACTCCTGGCAGTCCAGTCCTTCCTGACGTGAAGCGCTTCCCGGATGGTGGTGAAGTTTTTCAGCGATTTCGACATCTTTGATCCTTGTATAGATAGGTGACCCATATGCAAGAAATAATTCACCCATTGACCATGGTTTGCCCAGAACGCTTCGCTCTGGGCAAGCTCATTGTCATGGTGAGGAAATGCTAGATCAATCCCGCCGGAATGGATGTCCATTTGTTGACCAAGCTTCCCCGACGCCATCGCCGAGCATTCAATGTGCCATCCAGGCCGACCAGGACCCCATTCGCTATCCCAGCTTGGCTCACCGGGCTTTGATGCCTTCCAAAGAGCAAAGTCGGCATCCGATCTCTTAGCAGTTGCGTCTTTTTGTGACAGAGCACCTTCTCCGTCAGCCTGCAGTTCCTTGTCGTTTCTGTTCCATGGTTCTAATCTGGCGTAAGGGTAACCGGCGGCCTCGAATGCTTTTATGTCGAAATAAACCGAACCGTCTGACGTCCTGTAACCCATTTTGTTATCCACAATCTTCTTGACAAACTCCGCAATCTCTTTGCCATGCTCAGTGACTCGCACAAGATCATCCGGATCCATGACATTGAGATCATGCATGTCCTGGAAAAATCGAGCCTCATATTCTTTCGTGAGTTTCGTGAACACGGCGTAATCGTCTCCGCGGATCGTGCTACCGAACTGCTCGTCCAGGACCAGGCACATGATATCGTTGACGCGGTTGTAGAATTCATGCGGGGTCAGGAGCTTTGGATCTTGCATCAGAGCTTTTGCCGCGTTTCGAGCGGTATTGATGTGCATCTTGATCTTGGCCTCTCTGTCACCTGGTTTTGTTCCTGGCTCTAGGCTCCCTCCTGCAAGGACATCTCCATACGTGTGTTCGATGACTCCGTCGAATGTCTCGGGGGTGATGAGGTCCTTGGACGCTATGCGTTTCAGGTTCTTCTGGATGTAGTAGTGCCACGCCTGCTGAGCGTCTTGACGGACTTGGTCGTCGATGTATCTAGATGGCAGTCAGAATCTGCAAAGACTATTTCGTGCCGTCGCTCCGTACCTGTGGTTCTTCTTGTATTCGTCATAGAGGTGACGTTGCCTCGCTCTTAGAATGATCTTGTCGTCAATATCTGTGGTGTTCATTACAAACCGAATCTTGAAGCCAAAGTAGTCTCGCAGGATACGTCGAATGATATCCGTGGTCACATAGTTACGCGCATGGCCCAGATGGGAGTCGTCATAGACCGTGGGACCGCAGGCATACCAAGAGATATGGCCGGGTTGTATAGGGACAAATGGGACTTTGGATCGTGTCAAGGAGTTGTAGACCTTCAACTGCGGCTGATGGGTTGTGCCCGTAGGCATGGTCCAGGGAGGTTGCGACATTCTGACGGATTTGTTGCAGAAACTCCGAGCTGATGAGCAGAAAGAACGCTTCAGATAGCTCATGAGACTCCAGCTCAGCGCAGCGCAGCACAGCTCACTTCACTTCACTGACTCACCTCCCTCTGTTTGGGCGCAGGCGGCACACGGAGCAGGACTGAGTCACGCAGCTGGGCTGGAATGAGGCTCGGAAAATCGCACGCAATACGAGGTGGTACTACGAGGCGAGGGAGGTACCCCGGAGCCACTTTGCCCACTTAAATTTTGATGACGGATTGCGGTCAAATGCCGCGACGCCTGGTTTGCGACTAATGGAGGGGTTGAGGACTCGGAACGGAAGTGCAGCAACAAATACGGAGACTTCTGTATACGAATTTCTGCCGGATGTATCAAGCGAGTAATGTGCCATTCTCATCCCAGCAACGACCCTCTAGATCGAGGGCCAACTTCGCTCTGGAACCTTGGGGTCTGTGTATCAAGCCGGAAACGCCGTGAACAATGCAAAAATGCAGGTCTAAGAGCCCAGTCACGATTTCTTCCAAACAACCCACGAAACGCCTCTCCGGCCAGCGCCCCTGTGTCGAGCGAACCACCCGTAGCCCATCCAGGCGACCTTGAATGCCACCCCCCATAGAAAGACTGCAAATACCAACCCCCACCAGCTCCCAGAGGATTCTCGTGGAGCAATATCCGAGTATCCCAAGATCTCACCCTCCCGATTCAACGCTCCCACGCGAAACCGAGAATATTGAGATAGCCGGGACAGATCAAAGCTCTCTTCGAAGAACTCCTTGTCAAGGAAATCGAGATCGCTCCATTCTTCTTCGTGCTCTCCTGTGCCACCTCCCTGCAACACCCATGCTTCTACCTCTGTCGCCCCATTCCAACTGACATAGAGCATGTCATCCAGAATCTTCGCTGCAGGAGGCTCTCGAGGCTTGCCAATCCAGCCTGCTGATTTGAAAGCTCTGTACGAGACTGCCGTAGTGAAGACGTGAAGCCACGGCGCCCCGTAATGGACCTCACACAGCAGAGTTCCGTCCAGAGAAAACTCACTCAAGACCGGAGAATGGCCAAAGCCCACGAACACGTGTCTGGTGTCGGGAAGGTACTGCGCCGAGCCCTGTGAAGGTGTCCGTGTCTGGTGTTGAGACACATACGAATGCAAAAGGGTTACGGTACGGTTGGCTATATCCAACTTGAGCATCATGGCTCGGCTGTATGGGCCATTGACATGCAAGGGCCCTCCTTCCTTGTTGTCGAAAAGCGTGATGATACCTTCTTCCTCGTTGACCCAACGTGCATCATGCTGCCACTTGAAGTTGAGAGCGTCGCCCCCTGAAAGATCCCTGAATTGATTGCGTTGGCCGCCAAGAATCCATATGATTTGGCCATCCGAGCTGATGCAGCTGACCGAATGAGTATGGCGTGAGGAGATGAGGTAGTTGCCTTTGGAGTCCTTGTCGACGCTGTTAATGTGGAAGAAGTCGAAAGGAATGCTTTTGATGTATCCGCCAAATGGATGAGTCATGAAAGTCTCATTGACTTGGAAATGGTCTGAGGCTTTCCACTCGAAGAGCAGCTCGCCAGTCGCAATGTCAACTTCCTGAAACCCACTGTCGGTGAGCCATCCGTTCTTCCATTTACCCAGCGAGGAGAGATCAGCCGGGGTCACATTGTAGAACGTCAACAGCGCGGTGTTGTTTGGGGTGATTTTGAACTCGTGGAGATCGCCTTCGATCTCGCTCCCCTTCGCAACTGCTGAAACTGTGTGTTTGATATCGTACGAGCTATCCATCTGATCTTTCATCAGTCAACCGAAGCTGGACATGAATGCAAACTCACCATGTGATAGACGCCTCTGCCCATGGTCCCTCCCTTCTTTCCAGACCAGAATGTCAAGTATTGCTGGCCCATGTAACTCTGGACTTTCAGGTTCGTCGTAACAGCAAAACCTTCCCCTTTCCAAATAAGTTCACTATTACTATCCAGTATTGCAGGACCAGGATTGGGGATTGAGCCTCCATTGTAATTAAGGAAGGTATAGCCATTGTCGCAATCCGGGTCGTGTTTGCTTATGCTCGTCCGCGGCGAACTCAAGCCATTCGACACATATGTCTGCGAAGGTGAACCACCATAGAAGCCCAGATCATACAAGGTCGGATTCAATGTCGGAGATAACCAGATAAGGAGCGGGATCGCAGCATAGCATACGGCCAAGTAGAGAGCAAGAGCCCCCGCGACAACAACGACGGC